TCCAGACTCCTGGCCCCGCCCCCTACTGCAGAGACTCACGGCCCCGCCCCAGGCCGCCCCTCACTTTATTGAGGGCCGCCACGCGCTGGGCCAGCTGCGCTTCTATCTCGGGCAAGGTCTCGGCCTTCTGCAGCGTCTGCTGCAGCTTCTGCTTGGCGTCGTCCAGCCACTCGGCCAGCTGGCGGCTCTTCTCTTCGCTCTAGGGTAGGACAGGGACGGGATTGGGTAGGAGCTGGGTCTCCCGGCAAGGACCTCGTCCCCAGCGCCCCTTCCCGGCCCCCGGCGCCCCCACCTGCCGGTACAGCGATTCCTTGCTGGCCAGCTCGTTCTCCAGCTTGTCGTTGGCGTCGTGCAGAGACGTGGCCTCGCGCTGGGCACTCAGGTAGCGCTTCTCCAGCGTCGTGATCCGCTCCTCCATGTCCTCCCGCTGCGCCAACGCCTGCAGAGGTGGCAACGGGCCGCGTGGACTACAGCTCCCCAAAGGCCCTGCGGGGAGCCTAGGCCTAGAACCCCAAATCAGGCACCCCAGGGAATCCTGGGAAATGCAGTCCCCTGGCATCCGGGCGTCAGAATGGTGGAACCCAACCTGCCAGGAGCCCCGGGAATAGCCAACGTGAGGTCCCTGCCACTTGAAGTTAGAATGGTGGTACCACACTGCCCGCGAGCAGCGCTGGCTTAGACCCTCCCCATGTGAATGGCCCTGAGGCTCAGGGGATGGGACGTCTCCTCCACTCTTCTTGGACCACTTGCCTCAAAAACCCAGGACTTAGATGTTTCGGCAACTTGTGGCCCAGCCCAGGCTTAGCGTCACAGAGCAAGTGCCCTAGGGCAGCGGTTCTCAACCTTCTGGCCCTTTAAATACAGCTCCTCATGGCTCTGCAGCTCTGGAACCCTGTCTCCGCCGCTCGCGCGGGCTCCGCGTCTCTTGCTCCGGCTTTGGGCGCTGGGGACCCCACTCCCTCTCACAGTCTTACAGCCCTCTACCCCCTAAAATAGTCCCCTAACCCTGTCACCGTTCAGCCTCCCCCCACGAGGCCGCAGCCGCCAGATTCAGGGGTGCCCACCAGCGCCCCTCGCGACCCACAGGTTGAGAACCGCTGCCCTAGGGCCTCCTGGGAAGCCAAGGCCCCTTCCATCTGGGAGGCAGCATCTCCCAAGATCCCCCATCACAGGCTCAGAACCCCAGAAAAGGTGCTCCGGGGTCTCCTGGGAGATGGACCCGAGTCTGGGAGCCCTTGTGGTGGTAGATTTCCCATCAGGACCCAGGGCTTAAAACGTGAGGTGAAGGCCCCAGTGCAGTGGTCGGCAAACTGCGGCTCGCGAGCCACATGCGGCTCTTTGGCCCCTTGAGTGTGGCTCTTCCTAAGCCTTAGGAGTACCCTAATTAAGTTAATAACAATGTCCCTACCGATATAGTTTCAGTTTAAAAAATGTGGCTCTCAAAAGAAATCTCAAGCGTTGTACTGTTGATATCTGGCTCTGTGGACTAATGAGTTTGCCGACCACTGCCCTAGTGGATGAGAAAACTAAAGTGCCCACTATTCTTTCTCATCCAGGGCCTTCCTTCGAGAACCCATGCCTACATTTCCGGGCAGCCCCTGGGGCGTGGGAGTGAGGATCCAGGAGCCTAAGCCCGGAATGGGTAGAAATGCAGACCAAGGAATTCAATTTGGAGGCACAAGAGGATTTGCCAATGATAAGATCACTACGAACAGTTACTGAGCGCCCACTGCGTATGTGCCACATGCCAACCCTCTGACAGAGCTGTGAGTCCCATGTTACAGGCGAGGAAACTGGGGCTCAGAGAGGGAGAGAATCTGCACAGCTTATGAATGGAATTCAGGTCCCACCATTCCTGAGCTCTGTGACTTTGGGCAAAGGGACGTGGGGAAGGGTTATGGGGAGGGGAGGGACAGAGGGCAACCCACCGGCGGCTCCGGCCTCACCTCCTTGAGGTCGCGCTGGAGCTTGACGTTAGCTTCCTCGGCCTTACCCAGCTCGCGGTGGGCGGTGCCCAGCTCCTCCTCCAGCTGGCTCATCTGGCGGCACAACACCGCCAGGCGCTCCCGCAGCTGGCACACCTCCGCGCGCTGCCGCTCCAGGGCCTCCTCCAGCTCAGCCGTGCGCCGGTTGGATTCGCCTCCAGGACCCAGGCCATTGGCAAGGGCCTGAAGTGGGGACCGGGAGGAAGGAAGGGACAGAACCCAGAGTGGGGAAACAGAGATAGAAAGAAAATGCATCTGGAAAACACAGTTGATGGCGGGGGGGGGGGGGGGGGGGTGAGTGGACAGAGTGAATCAAAGATCAGTAAGGGTGCCCTGCCGGTGTATCTCAGTGGTTTGAGCACCGAACTATGAACCAGGAGGTCACGGTTTGCTCCCAGTCAGGGCTCCATCCCCAGTAGGGGGCGTGAGGAGGCAGCCAATCAATAATTCTCTCTCATCATTGATGATTCTCTCTCTCCCTCTTCCTTCCTCTCTCTGAAATCAATAAAAATTTTAAAAATTTAACAATATATCAGTAAGGGTCTTGGAGGTCACAGTAGTTAGCGAGGTGACCTGAATCAGGTCCTAGGAGCTCAGATGTCCCAGGGTCAGTGAGGATCATATCAAACATTAAAAGGACCATCACAGTCCAGCTGGCGTGGCTCAGTGGGTGAGCGTTGACCTATGACCCAGGAGGTCAGGGTTCGATTCTCCATTAGGGCACATGCCCGGGTTGCGGGCTTGATCCCCAGTGTGGGGCTTGCAGGAGGCAGCCTACCATGATTCTTCTCTTATCACTGATGTTTCTATCTCTCTCTCCCTTTCCCTTCCTCTCTGAAATCAATAAACAATATATATATATATTTTTTAAATATATATTTTATTGATTTTTTATGAGAGAGAAACATCGATCAGTTGCCTCCTGCACACCCCCTACTGGGGATGTGCCCGCAACCAAGGTACATGCCCTTGACCAGAATCGAACCTGGGACTCTTCAGTCCACAGGCCGACACTCTAGCCACTGAGCCAAACTGGTCAGGGCAACAATATATTTTTTTAAAAGAAAGAAAGAAAAAAGGGACCATCACAAAGTCAGAGGAGAGCGTGGAGGTCAGAGGGATGAGGATCAATGAAGAGCAAAGGGAGCGAAGGACTTCCTCCTCTTACCTGCCCGTCCCCATCCTTGCCCGGCTCCTCCAGCCCCGATCGGCGCCTAGACAGCTGCTCTCGAAGGTTCAGAGTCTGGGAATGGGAAAGGGAAATCAGTGCGAAAGGAAGATTAGCTCCTTCCCACTGGCCCCAGCCATCTAAGGAGAGGCCATGGGAGCCCCGGGTCCTGCTGGGGCTGCCCTCAGACCCTGTGCTCTCCTATCTCTCCTTAGCTTCCCAGCAGGGACGGGGGTTGGCCTTCCTCTTGTCCTCTTTAGCCCGACTTTTCCCACTCAAACATTCCCTCGGTGTGGGCTCTTCCCGTTGGCCCCGGCCCCTGGTTCTCACTAGGCAGTTCTCCTCCTAGGCCTTAGGGACCCCACTGGTTCTCTCCATAGTCCAACCCCACTAGTCCTCTGCTCTAGTCCTGCCCCCAACAGATTCTGGAACCCAGAATCAGCCCACCCCATTGGGAGCTCCGTAGCCCCTCCCTCCCCTTCCCGGGCTCACCTCCTGGTTGCTCATCTCCAGCTCCTCTTCTAGTACAGCCACCCGCTCCAGCGCCATCCGCAGCCGCTCCCGGACCTGGGGATGGGCAGGACGGCAGTGAGATGGAGATCAGATCCAATGTAGGACAGTTGGCCATGGTGAAGAACGCCCTGGAACGGGCCTCGTGGGGAAGGTTAGAATTCCTCTATCTATAATGGATGTGCAGCCCCAACCTGCCACCAAAGCTTAGCCTGGCCACGGGTAGCCCCGCCTCGTTCACTTTTCCATGATCAACCAGTCAGGTCAGCCTGCATAGCCAGTCAATCAGAGTCAACTTTCCCCCCCACTTAGGACATCCCCAACCAACCGAATCTCTGCAGCTCAGGACAGCCCCCGCCACCTGCGGGCTTCCCTTCCACAGCCAGGCTCTTCCGGTCTCATACCTTCTCATCCAGGGCCTTGTGGTGCTCGAAGAGGGATTTTAGAGCCTTGAGCACCTCCACCTCCGAAGAGACGCCGCCCGGGGACTGGGCCTGGCGCTTCACCACGGTCATGCGCAGTGACCGCTCGTGTCTGGACACCAGGCACTCCAGGTGTTCCAGCAGCAGCTGCAGGGACAGGACACCGGGTCACAGGGGCAAGGAAAGGGAGGCAGGGTCGACGGGAAGTGTGGCTCAGACAGGTGGGTTGGACACATGGGGAAAGAGTTGAAGCCGAGCAAAAGGTAAGGAACGAGGCAGGTCAGTAAGAGAGGGAGCTCCGAGGTCAGGAAGGAGTGGCAGATAGAGGCCCTTATGGAGAGGGGGAAAAACGGGAAGGAAGGAGGGGGCCAGAGGACACCAGCCGAGAAGTGGGAGCAGGGAGAAGACAGGACCCCAGCGGTCGGACCGCAACACCGCGAGCCCCCACTCCCCCGCCTGCACCGCTTAGCAAGGCGCTCGCTCACCCGCGTGTTGTTCCGTTCGGCCTTCAGCTCCGCAATCTCTTCTTCCCGCTCCAGCAGCTGCTCTCGACACAAGTTCAGCTCCTTCGTCAGAGCCGCAAACTCCTGTCCAGATGTGGGCAAGAGCGGGACCGTCAGATCAATCCTTCCCCACCTCCCACGTGGAACCGAACTGTTGGAAAGCCCCGCCCTCCCTATAAGCCCCGCCCCCTGAGC